TGAGTCAGCTGATATATAAGGAAATATTTATAGAATATACATATCAGTCTGATCATGCAAATATTTCTTCAGTGGTTGTTTGTGGAGTGCCCACCATGTCTTGAGCACAATGCTGGGGATTGGGAACACCAGTGTTCATCCAGTGTAAATCCTCATCCTTTTTACATACCTGGTCAAGGCTTTTTGTTATACTATTTTGCTCTGTGAGTGTGTGTGTGTGTGTGTGTGTGTTAGTTAAATGGAGATAGGCTTTCTTGGAACTTGAATTCTGCTGATAATCTCAGCAATTATTATTTTTCTATGTCTGAGAGACACTCATGAGCAGCTGTGCAAACTAAGCCTAAAGTAGTTAAGCAGCTTTTGGTTTTCAGTATTTTAATAAGGTTTTCAGGAAATAGATATATAGAGTTCAAGAAGGCATAAATATAGCATGCGTGACATGTGAGCTTTTCTTTATAATGTGACATATAACTGTAATACATAATTTTCCCTCTATACATAATGTAACGATATTCATTACTTTTCATTCTTTACTGTTAAAAAAAAAGTCAGATGGGTAATCTCCTTAAGTGTGAAATTTCACTCTTTTCATATATATGTATATGTAAAGTGTAACTGGATATTCTGTTACATTATTTTAATGTAACATGTAAATGTAATATATCATTCTCTCTCTGTATAAAATAATGTAACTGGTCGCCAGTTACATTATGTATAAAGAGTGAAATTTCACAATCAAGGAGTAGATTACATATTTGACTTTTTTTTTTTTTTTTTTTTTTTACAAATAGTAAAGACTCCAGTTTGATCCAACATGGACTGTATCCCAGCCACCATCCTAACATTCTAAATTACTATGTCTTGAAGTTTTCTCTGACTTTGCACATCACTTCTTCTATAATGAGACTCTTCTTTTTAGTCTTTACTGAATCACCATCCAGTTTAAGGTTGTATACTCCCTTGAACCTGAACTCTCTAATTTCTATTTCATTAGGGGAAATATATCTTCTTCAAAAGGTTGTTTTGGGTTGGAATATTAATTTCAGGTATTTGAGAATGTAGCTTTTTGTGCTGTCCGTTAACAAGATACACTATCATTGTACTGAAAATCCTACCTAACACTTCATCTTTCTTGCTTATTTAAAAATTAGATTGAATAACTATCCATTTCCTGTTTTTCTTTCAACTAGATTAAAAGATTCCCAAGGACAGAGTTATTCTCTTCTAGAGCTATATAAAAATAGAACTAAATTGAACACTTTAGGTAGTCAGCGTTTCTTAGTTGCAAGTGTGTAATTGCCTAAAATCTCAAAGGGATTCAGTTTTATAAAAGCGTGTTATGTTGAGTTGTTCATTTCTTTACTTTTTGAGGTGTAAACTATTACTGTCATTTTAAGAATCTTTACCAGTGTCACCTGTACTTCAAAAACAAGATAAAATGCTAAAACGATGGCAAGATATCAAGCTATGGCCATGCTCTAGACAAGTAACAGTAGTAAAATGAATTGACTGTGGTGTCAACCCAGGCATGAAGACATTACCCCTAAAAAAGGCATCAGTGAGGTCTAGAGCTCAGTTCATGCCTACAATTAAAAGGATATAGTAAAAGATTTGTGATATTAGCAATGAAGAGTTTTGACCCTTAGAAGAAAAACACAAAATAGTATGAAATATAGTTTGTATAAATATATAACTTTTAATATCTCCTAAAATGATAATCTTTTTATAATTATAAGTAATTCTATAGATTATTGGGAGGAGCATGGTATTTAAAGTGAAAATATTTTTTTCTTGACATCTCTGAAATGTTTATTTGCAACCCTCGCATCTCAGCTGTATATCCTTCAAGTGACCAGATTGTATCCAGTTTCATATATGGCATGTATAGTTGCCAGCAAATTTTTAAGCTGGACTCTTTGTTTTGCCTTTTATATTAGTATGGTAAATCCTTAGTTTTTACTTTTGTAGGGTGAGTAAAACACTTCAAATTCACTAGTGTGTTTCCTGTAAGAAATGTAATTAGCTGTTTCTAAGCTTTAAAAATTCCATTAATAGGGATTAAATACTATGATATTTCTGAATTTTCAGTGGTAATAAGTTAGGCAACTATGATATTTCTGAATTTTCAGTGGTAATAAGTTAGGCTGAGTTATGATTACTACTTGAATTTTCTCTGGCTCATCTCTGGCATTAAGTATAAAACAGGCTTTGAAGATAAATTTAATTTTTCTGTAATATTAAATAAATTGATTTATCCTAATTTTATCTTAATTAACCCCTAAATTTAATAGCCAAAAAGTTCCTTTGACTTCTTGCTTACAGTTGTAGGTAATTATTGTTAATCCAATTACTAGTTTGTGATTAAGTGCTCCCTACTGTATGCTTGCCTTGCTTTCACCTAGAATCTAGGGCCATTACTTTCTGTAACCATTTCAGTGAGCTGCCATAGTTTTCAGTCTGTACTGTCACCTGATCCAAGCATGCGCCAAAACATCCACTGTTTCTGGCTCTTGTCTGCTGAATCTGCTTTGCAAAACCCTTCGTTCTTTGAGCTTTTGCTTTAGCCAAAAACCAAATTTAAGAAATTCTTTGGAGTGTGGACATATGCCATTTGCTTCCTTAGCCCCCCTGTTATGTAACTCTTTAGCTTTTATTAAGCTTGTAAATACTTTATTAACAGTGGCATCCCCATGTGTAATTGTGTGGCTCATGTGTCAAAGGCTGCTTGTGAACTTGTCAGAAGAGAATGAATGCTCTACTTGCGCTGCATTCAGCATTTTTTCTTGGTTTTTTTTTTTTTTTAATCAGCCACTTATTCTTTCATAGTGTTTGGTTTAATTATCTGATTATTTTATGTATTATACCAAGGTAAGTTTGATGTAAAAAAACTTTGTATTCTCTGTGGTTACATGTATCTCATAGTAATTATTATTACATATTTTTCCATTTAGGCATGCTGGCCTTTCTAAATAAATAGATCTTGAACTTAAAATAAGTAACTTCCTCCATTTTTCATTAATTTAAACAACAATATTGAGGATTAATTCCTGTAAAATTCATTTTTAAAACAGAAAAGCTACCGTGTATTACTTGCAGCAATATGTAGGCAAACCTACTGTGAGAAATCTAAAAATGTAGTGTACGATTATTTGGTTTAGCAAGTAGTATTGTAAATACTGGGATGATGTAAAAAGTAAATAGCATGTTCTACTATTAAATTTTAGAAAAGTTAGACTTTTTGTTTTACATAGTTTTTCAGGAAAATAATTATTTTCTAAACTGAGATATGTTTCTCTTATTTGTGATATCTATTTTCAAAGAATCATAAGTACTTTGATAGATTGAGCAACTACTTGAATAATAGTTCATCTTAGTGGTATAAAATTTCCCTTTTAGGAAAGGATGATGTTAAATAGATATCCAAATTGGTCTGAAAACATGTATGTCCTAAAAAGAATGGATTTGAAAGTGTATTTGTGCTGTTGACGTCTACATGTCAGTTAGGAATATGAAGCAGTTCTTTAACATAGTAGCGTATGTGCAAAATAGGGCCGCCTAATTGTCTCACACATTTCTTAATTCATAATATTGATTGCTGACACCATATTGTAGTAGTTTCTGTTTCTTTTCCTTCTTTATTTTATCTCGTACTCTGATCTTTTCCTGAGTTTCCTGGAGTTTGCCTTTCTTTCTTTTCTTCTGAAAGAAAGTTTTAAGGTAGCTCTGTATTGGATCCAAAACTTTAAATCAAGAACTGGCTGGCATCATTTGTAGTTCTGGCTTTTATCTCCTCATTTCTCCCCTTTGCTGATCTCCTCCCTGCGGAGGAGATCATAGGAATGTGAGCTATACCAAGCCTTTTAACCTTTCTTTACTTTGCTGTCTTCAGTATTTCACTAGTGAGTATGATTCTGCTTATTCTACTTATTTTGAAAAACGTATTTGAAAACTGCGTAAGTAGTGAAATTCAAAAAGAAGGCTTTTGGATTGTTTGATTTTCAGTCTTAATAGTGCCTTTTATGTGGAAAATTTACAGTAAGAACTTAGCATATTATTTAGAGTTGTTTTTTCTATTCCAAATTGTTCCCAAACGGAATTGCCACAAAAAGAAACAAATTAGGATATGCTGATTATAGACCGTTTCTTTTTTAAACATCTTTGCACTTAAAAAGTTACTATATATGCAGCTGCTGTTCATCAGTAGTTTGCAGCTAAATGCAAGTGATTAGGAAGTATGTGTGACAGATGCTCCATCTATAATGCTCCATTACAAGCAATATTGGACTCCTTATGGTAATAAAATGCAATTCTGTGATTCTAAAGAGCCATTTATGGAGTTACAGTGTTCTATCTGAAATTTGTCCTTATAAACATTAACCAGATTCTTTGTATTAATCTTTTAAATGTATTTGCTTTCCTTATTTTGCATTGGCCAGTCCCTTTATTTCTTGCCACTTTGCTTCAGGACCCACATCTCTTTAGAAGAATGGCTACAGATGGCTTTCTGCTTTTTCACATTGACAAATCTTTGCTTTGGAAAGAACCCAGAATATAGCGCATTATAAAAAATAGGTACCAGGAAATGAAATCAGAATTTAAGTTAAATTTATGGATATAACTCATAAGGTATCCACTCAGGGAGGTGAGACATAGGATGTCCTTTTAGGTTAAGATTGGAATCTGGAAACTCTGGGTCTACCTTTCAAGTTGTATCTAATAAAATACCTCCCTATAGATGTCCCTTAAAGTAATAAAGCAAATAGAGCTAGGTGGTTTATCTTCTAGCAATCGAGTTTAAAATGTTAAACTTTTTGAGAAGTAGCATTAAATTAAAATGTTAATAAGCTTTTTGAGAAGTAGCATTTTAAAGATGTGAAGTTTTAAAAACTGTTGTAGAATAGTACTTCTTTGCCTTCCAGAGTATGCTTACTTTAACCATTTCTTGTTCAGATAGACAATGTGCTATTGAGTAGTGAACTGATTTAAAATTTATTTTTCAGATGAACCAGAAACTCGAGATGCGTGGTGGGCAGAAATCAGACAAGAAATAAAATCACATGCCAAAGCATTAGGCTGTCATGCTGTAGTGGGCTACAGTGAATCAACTAGCATCTGGTAAATGAAAACAACTTGATTTTCTAGATGCTGTAGGTTACAGATTGTCATCTGAAAGGGGGAAAGCTTTATGCAGATACAGGGAAAAGAAGAATAGTGGAGTGGTCCAGGAGCATGGGCTTTTTTAGAGTATATCACACCGAGGTTCATATGCCATTTTTGCTACTTAATTAATGTGAAACTTTGGGAAAGTTACTCTACTCCTGTGAGCCTCAGTTTGTACACTGAAGTGGAGATAATAACTGCCTATCAGTTAAGGTTATTGAGGGATTAAATGAGAATATAATACTGGCACATAGCAAGTATTAACTCTAGGCCTACTTTACTCCAGTTTGTGACTCCACTAACTCCTTCCTCTGGGATTTTGGAACCCTTGATCTATTGTAAATGAACTTGCCATGTGTCTTTAAAGTTCATTGTAAACTCTTTCTGCCTTTTTTTTTACTAACTGTAACTTAACTTTCTCCTGCCAACAAATCATCCTTTCTAACTCTACCCAGTTAGGAGGGGACTTCCATACTCCTAGTTCTCAATCCACTTTTCTCCTACCTTTCATTTGGAGAGCCTCTCCTCCTTAACATCCATGACATTCCACAGTTTAGAATCTTCTACCTCCAAAACTTTCTTCTGCCTTGTTCATTACTGCTTGGCCAATCTCCTCCAGTTAAACAAGGTTATCTCTCTTCTAACAGCCTGGCATTGTACTTTCTCATTCTCAAATCCTCTATCCCCACGTGACTTTCAGCCTTATTTTGGACCTCATTGTCGCTTGAAACTGCTTCTCTTTAAAAATTTGAAACCATAGGGCTTCCCTGGTGGTGCAGTGGTTGAGAATCTGCCTGCCAATGCAGGGGACACGGGTTCGAGCCCTGGTCTGGGAAGATCCCACGTGCCGCGGAGCAACTGGGCCCGTGAGCCACAACTACTGAGCCTGCGCGACTGGAGCCTGTGCTCCGCAACAAGAAAGGCCGTGACAGTGAGAGCCCCGTGCACCGCGATGAAGAGTGGCCCCCCCTTGCCACAACTGGAGAAAGCCCTCGCACAGAAATGAAGACCCAACACAGCAAAAATAAATAAATTAATTAATAAACTCCTACCCCCAACATCTTCAAAAAAACAAACAAAAAATTGAAACCATAAAATTTCCCTCTTGGATCACAACTTAATATTTTTCGACCCATCCCATTTGCTCATTTACACCTAGTTTGTTTTGACCCTTATCCTAACCAAGAGTTTTCCCAGTTCCTTACATAGGTTCTGACTTTACTTGCTATCTGCCATCCTTGAACCCTACTTTCCGCTCGTTCAGAAGTTTGTGTTGGATATCATCTAGAAACTGTGTGACCTTCTGCTGTCTTATTTTTCCACCTTGTGTTGGATAATTCTCACTGCCAGCTGTTACATGGATAACTCTCTTGTGGTGGTGGCGATCATTTTTGTTGGAGAAAAAATGACTAGACTGTAGTAAATGAGGATGTTACAGAGCCATGCTATTTCATCTTCTGAGGACCCTTTCTTTTCCTTTGCAGACCACGTATGATACCCTTGAACTGCTGTATTCCCATAGTAGCTGTTCTCCTTTTGTTAAACGACTAACTTTGTTATGCTTATCCTGCCTTACTCCCCAGGTAGTCTTGCTTATTCATGGATTTCGTGTCATGCACTCTCCGGTCTTAGGGATATGGTTTTAAAAGACATAGTTCTTGCCATCAGATTCACATTCTCCTGGAGAAGTATGACAAGTATAATATATTTTATGATAGAGACATCCTAGGATGCTTTAGGATCTCAGAAGGCTGGAGGTTAGAAGTAGGATTGGAAGAAAGTGTTAAGGAAGTAACTGAAGCTTGAACTGAATCTTGGGAGATGAGCATGAGTTATATCAGTGAAGAGAAAAGGCATAGGGAGGGTTTTCAAGGCGAAAAGACTAGCATGTGGAGAAGGCCAGAGGTGTAGATCAGTGGCTGGAGATGAATCACAGTTGCAGGAGTCTATAGAAATGAGTTCAATTAATTTACTTAGAAGTTTGCATTCACCTGATACAAATTTCTCTTTTCCCTCTAGACCTCAAAATGTCTTTGTCTTTAAATCCTGTCTTTACCAGTTTTTTCTGTTCTAACCCGTCCTACTTACTATTGTTGGATTCAGTTCCCTGAGACGCATACCTTGAAATGCACACCTGCTCTTGTAGCTCCTTGATTTGGTGCCTTCTGTGGCTCCCCGTTACTTTTTCTGACGTTCTCAGTGCCCACTTAAACATTGTAAGCCTGGCCTCTTACAGACCATTTCTTTTATATCCTTTCTTCTGGTCCATTTACTCTTTGTTTCCAGCATTTCGTCCCGAGGCTGCTAATTTTCTCACTAGCTTTGGGTGATCTCATTCAATAATTATGTTGATTGTTTAATTTTTTTGGCTTTCAAGCTGGGTGGTATGTAATCAAGAGTTTCAAAGAATTCTTTTGAAAATCAGTTTTTATCGTACATATAATGATGTACCAAAAGCTCTGTTTAGTTTATTTTGTATTTTATTTGTTTCAGATATCTTTTTATTATTAAGTTTGAATTAAGCTATAACAATATAGATATTTACATAGTTGTGCCTTTAGAATAATTTTAATAAAATTCAGTATACATTTAAAGAGTATTTTAATACGGTTTGATGGGTTATTGCTGGATTCAGCAATATAGTTTATTACTACTTATATTTTGAAACATTCCAGTCTTTATCAGCTTTACCATGTTTTAAAGGAGTCACACTGCTATATTAGAAATAAAATGCCTTTCCATGGAAAAATAAAAAAATAAAAAACAAACAAAAAACAAAATAAAGGAATCAGTTGGCATTAATATTATGCTTTATCTTTTACAATTTTTAAATAAGAAAGAATTCTTATCCTTTCCATTTTAACAACATTATTTCTGTTTTCTATTCTAGGTTTAGGAGGTAATCCTGTGATATTAATATTTAGTAGAGTCTAACTTTAAATTTAAATTGTCACCCTTGTATCACTTTGATAGTTAACATTTTCCAAAGTTAGATTCCCTGAAAATGTTAACTTGTTTATGTTTTTTTCTTTTGTAGTGAAGAGGTCTGTATTTTATCTGCATCCGGCACAGCAGCTGTACTGAACCCTAGATTTCTGCAGGATGGCACCGTGGAGGGCTGTTTGGAACAGAGGTTGTCATGACAGCCTGGCTTATTTTCCTTAAGGGCAGAGGAGGGAGAGGTTGACTTCCTTCCTCTCAGAGCTGGGCTAGTCCTTCTCTACGAGGGTGGGTTATAGGTGTGCAATTTTGAAATCAGGACCAGGCACTTTACTGATTTTTACTTAATCCATAGCAACAAAGAAGTGTTGGGTTCTGCACTGTATGACACATCATTATTTCTATTATCTTGATAAATTACACATATGATTACCAATCGAAGGATTTCAAGTATACATTTTTTTGTTTGCTACAGTATAGAAATAATTTATTTTATTTGAGTTTTCTCTTCCTTTCCTTTTCCTTTCTCTTACCTCCAAAACAGGAAAAGGTCATGAAACAATTTTCATAAAATTCTTAATTTACAAAACAATCAAAATACTATGTTATCCGAAAATTATGTATAAAAGCTTCAGTTATGTTATAAAAGCTTCATGAAATATAACTTTAATAGATGTGAAAGAGAAAGCAAAAATGAAAGCATTAGGTAAAATGAGGTTACTTTTTGGTTTATTTGATTATTGGTCCCTTTAATCTGTTAGCTTCCATAAATGTCATAAGTATTTTCCATAAAACGATGAAGTTATCAAATATATATACCAAAAACTATTAGTTTGGTACCAGAGTTTGCCCAAATAATATAAATTTTAAATACCCCTTGCTCTACACTATGCATATTTATTTTCCCCCGGTATTAATGTATTAGTGTATATTAAGGAAAAAAGCAAAAAAAATTCTGTATGTGATCAAATTTAGAATAAATTTGCAAGTCTCTGTATAGCAAAGAAAGATATGCTAGCTCTGGTAAGCACACGGAAGACCTTGGTCAGTTTCTTCTTTTGTCAGTATTAAAAATGGGTTTTGACCATAATATATTTCTGAGCATTAAAAGTCATGGTGAATAGGAAAGTGGAGGTGGGACATTTTGAAGTATATTGAACAATTGGAATATTCCTTTGAGAAAACTGACTTTGCCAGTGAGTTGTCCCAGTCCTGTCATATAGTTCTCACCTGTGTTAATAGATTCCATTCTTCACTAGATAGAAGCCTAATTAAACAAACAACCTTTCCCATCCAGCTTGGTTGTTTCGGTATTGTGGCTTGGATGGACACAGTGAGCTCTCTTGAATGGCAGACTGATGCAACAGATACCATCCCTACTTGTAAAAGTGGAAAATGTCTTTTTCTTTCTGCTATGAAATTACTAGAGAAAATTTGAAAAATGTAGGAGAGTAGAAGGAAGAAAAAAATTCCCTAGGGTATGAGTATTCAAAGATAATGCCTTTTGTATATTTCATATTTCAAATGCTTTCATAAATTTTAGCACTTTTATTTTTTATGCCTTATGATGTTACACCACTTATGTTCAAATTTCTGTGAGGTGTTTAGTTAAAAATTGCCCCAGTTTTCATCTTTCTGTGCCCCCTTGTAACACATGGGCTTTGGATTCAAACAAACTGGCATAAAAATCTGGGGTCTGCTACTTAGTACTTAGTGTGACTGAGCAAGTTACTTAATATCTCAGCTTGGTTTCAGGCCAAGTGGAACTAGTTTTTGTTGCCCTCTGTTGGGTGTGAGTATTTAGCTATAGTTTTCTTACTTAATCTTCAAAAAAAACCAAAAAAGACCCTTTCTAGGTAGATATTGTTGTTGCACTTTTATAGAGGAGGCTCTGAGAGGTTAAATGACTTGCTCAGAGTCACACGGCTCTGCCCAGATCTGTCTGATTCCCCTGTTACTTCTAATAGGCGAGAATGCCATCTCAACAATAAAAGAATAATATCTGGGAGAAACTTAATTTGATTTAGAGGGTTATTGTGAAAATTCAGTAAAATAATGTATACAAAGAATACAGAAAGTCTGACTCCTGGTAGGTGTTGTATGAGTTTTCTTTTCCCTTTTTAATGTGTCTACTTGCCAAATTTCAACTTTTAAAGGGTTGCTTTAGATGAAAGGGATTTGAGAACCCACATCTTACCAGAGCCATAGAAGATGTGGCTCTGTGAAAGCTGGGATTTCTCCATGGAGCTTCCCTCTGTTTCCCTTCCTGTTCTCCTCATTTCCTCATATTTAATGACTGAATAAATACTTAATCATTCTAAAATGATTTCATAAACAGCACAATACAACAGACATTTTACAATGAATGGGGAGGTTGTGGGTTGTTCATTTGTGCTTTATGTATGATGGATATTCATTTCTGAAACACAGGTGTTTTGGTTTCACAGAAATGCTAAAACAGACATCATAAATAGAAACTTTAGAATATGCCTAGCTTTAACTTACATTTTTTCCTCTTAAATAGATTTGTTTTTAACCATAGATTTTTTTCAAATTGTTAGGTTGGTTAAAAAGCTTTTTTTCTTAGGAATTATTTTGTGATTTTATTTGTGTTATCTTTGTCACACAGTAAAAAAATGTCACGCTTATTTGTTTTTATGTTGTATCCCAAAGGAAAAACCATTGGAATGATAGTGGTTTTTGTCAGGTGATAAGTCATCAAACATAAGAATTGATGCAAAATGACTCTACTTGTATAAGCCTCTTCTTTCATAGCACAGTGCATGGTTCTGATTTCCTGGTCATTTCTTATCAGTCATAGTGGTACTTAACTATGGTTGAAGTTGTGGTGTAGTTTGTATACAAGTACTGGATATGTAATATATGTTTTTGAAAAAATGCATAGAATTTTCAAGAATAACTTTTTTTTTCTTAATGTATTCTTAATAGGCTAGAAGAAAATTTGCCTGCAGGCTGTGGATTTTGCCATATACCGTATGATGAACTGAATATGCCATTTCCAGCCCATCTCACATATTGCTATAACTGCAGGAAACAAAAAGTTCCCGATGTTCTCTTTACAACTATAGACCTCCCAATGGATGCAGCAGTTATTGGAAAAGGTTGTCTCATTCAAGCAAGGTATGTTTGTGAAGACGGTATTTGGGGTCCTTGAAGGAGTATAGGGTATGGAGTCAAATAGACGTATTTTCATATATCTGCTCCTTCCTACTTGTGTGATCCTGGGCAGGCTTGGCAATTCTATCTGAACCTCTTATTTTACTGTATGGAAAATATGGGGGAAAAATATCCTCTTTATGAAACTCAGATAAGTTTATATGCAAAAGCAGTTTTAAACATTTAAATTCTGTACAAATGTGTATTATTATGAGGATTATTAATTAACCTGTTGCAGGCTGGGGGTGTGACTCAGTATGCTTTAATGACATTAAATATCTAATACTTTGTGGAAATTGACTTTTTCGTCTTTTTAAGAACAGTGCTATGTGGTGTTTCCTTTACAACTTCAGTTAGCTGTTAAGAATTCCTTTTAAAGTGTACTGGAATAGGAAATGCTAAATTGTGGCTGGCACACAGGAAACAGCTGCAGCTATCTAGGTCACCAACAACTACCAGGCTACCAAATCCATTGAGCATATCTGTCCTCATTTTACTTAACATCTCAGCAATAATCACACACTTGATCATTTTCTCCTTCTTGAAACTTTTGACTTCACAATGCCACACCTCCTCCTTTTTCCTACCTTTATGTATAGTCTTCAGTCTCCTTGTTGATTCCTCCTCATTTCTTGTTCCTTGAGAGCCGTGAGTTTGGACCCCCTTTCAAAGCTTTCTCCCTGGTTGAACTCGTCAACCCCTATAAGTCTGTATGCTGTCTGTAAGTCTAGGACTCCCAAATTTATACCTCTAGTCCAGAACTTTCTTCTGAGTTTCAGACCCATATACTTTCCTGTCTGCTTTACACATCATTTTCTTAGGCATCTCATACTTGTTCCAAATTGAACTGCTGATTTTCTCCATTTCTTTCTTTGGTCTTTTCTGTTTTAATAAGTGATACTTGCTGTATCCAGTTCTTTCTTCCAGATATGGTATTCTACCTCCCCATATCAAAGTTATTACAAAGACATGTTACATCTTCTTCTAAAGTATGTTTCTAATCCATTTACTTTTGCTTTCATTCCCTGTTGCATCTTAGACCTTCCATTTAGGATTGTTTTTCTTTTGCTTGAGTTATCTCCTTGAGTATTTTTTTTTGGTGGATCTGCTGGTGGTGAACTATTTTTACATGTCTGCAAATGAGTCTCTTTTATCTTTAAAAGATATTTTGGGCTGGCAGTTATTTTCTTTAAGCACACTGAAGATACCCTTCCACTGCCTTCTGGCTTTCATTGCGACTGTTGAGAAATAACCTATTAGACTAAATGTTGTTCCTTTGAACTTTGTCTATTTTTTCCCCTCAGGCTGTGTGTGAGCTATTTTATTTGTCTTTGGTTTCTGCAGTTTCCCTATGAAGTGTTAGGTATGGAGTTCTCTTTATCCTAATTGTTATACCTTGGGCTTCTTGAATCTGTAGATTGGTGTCTTTCATGAATTAAAAAAAAATTTTAGATTAGTTCTGTGTTTCATCTGTTCTCTCTTCTTGATACTCCAATTAAAAGTATGTTAGACTTTCTCACTGCCTCCTCTATGTCTGTTATTTTCTTGTCTTATGTTTTTAAATCTTTTCGTTTCTTTATGTTATATTTTGGATATTTTCTTATTTATCTTTCAATTCTTTAATTTTCTCTTCAGCTGTCTTTAATATGCTATTACACCTAATAATTGTGTTTTTAAATTTTTGATTATCTATTTTTATTCCCAGAAGTTTTATTTTGTTCTTTTTCAAATATATCATATACTGTAGTCTTTGATTGATTCTGTAACTGATGATTTTAATATCTAAAATCTTTTTTTTCTGTTGTTTCTGCTGGTTATTGTTCATTGTGTTTTACTTGCTTTGACTCACAGAAAGTTGCAAAAATTGTACAGAGTCCTGTGTACCCTTCAGTGAGCTTCCCCCATTGGTGACATCTCATACAGCTGTAGTATAGTATCAACTAGGAAATTGACATTGTTATAATACTGTTAACTATGCTACAGACCTTATTCAGTTTTACACTTCTTTAAACTTGCATTCATTTATGTATTTGTATATATATGTATAGGTCTATGCAGTTTTATCCCACAAATAGATTCGTGTAAACCACCACCGCAGTCAAGATACAGAAGTGTCCCGCCACCACAAAAGAATTTCCTTATGCTACCTCCTTAAGTTTGTACCCGGCATTGCTCCTTGCCCTGGTCCTGTGATGCTTTTAGGAAGATTTTTAAAGATATAGTTTATTCAGTTTTTATTTTTTTTTTCTGTTTTAGGTAAGAGGGGATTAGTCTTCATCAGCAGTTCTCAGAGTGTGGTACCTAGACCAATAGCATCACCATCTTTGGGGGACCGTATAGAAATGCAGATTCTCAGGTCACGTGCCAGACCTGTTGAATTGGAAACTCTGGGGATGGTAATTGTTTTTTAACAAGCCCTCCAGGTGGTTCTGATGCGAGGCAGAGTTTGAGAACTATTGGCCTAAATAGCCTGGCTTGCCAGTTTGGGGATCTTTCCTTCATCTTCACAGCTACCTGTTTTAGTCTAAGCTCTCATTGTCTCTTACCTAAATTTAAGCCTTTTGTCTGCCATCCCCACATCAGTTCTCTTATCTTTACTCCATTCTCTGTGTAGCAGTATAAACGATGTCCTAAAATATACTTTGGATTGTGTTAACTACGTAAAACCTATGTGGGGGTTCCCATTGCTGGCAGAATAAAATCAAACTCCTCACCATGACCCGAAGCCCCTAACATGCTCATGCCCATGCTTAGCTGCACCCTCATCTGTGCTGCCCTCACCCTTGCTCACTTCACTTGACCTACAGTGGTCTCCTTTTGGTTCTTCTAATATGCCAGCTCCATTCCGTCATTGTCTTTTTCCAGCACTCTCAATTCCATCATGCTTTTAAGATCCCAGTTCAGGTGTTGTCTCTGCTGTGAGGCCTTATGTCGAGTTATTCTCACTTTTCTTCACCTGGTTTATTTTCTGCACAGACTGGATTCTTAAGCATTATCTGTGGTTGCCTTGTTTCTTTGTTTATTCCTACTCCTCTCCCCTCTGCCCCCACTGGAATATGAGCATGAACAGGGACTTTGTGTTTTATTCATTGATCAGTGCTCACCACCTACAACAGTGCCTGGCACATGGTGTACACTCAAGTAGGCTTTGTATTCTTTTAATGAGTAAATTAAGTTTTTTCCTTTGCTATCCACCCATTATATGATCACAGGGAGTTATGAAACCTAAGATGCAAAATTATATTCTCTGGTGATTTTGATCAGTATTTATTTCATTTCTAGAGATTTTGAGATTTTTTTCCTTTTTATTCAAACAGGACTTTTAGCAAAAGTATGTACAGTGAAAAAAGTGACAGAAAAGATTATTGATAAAACTTAAGAAGTCCGTTTGAAACAAGTAAATGTTTTATCAAGCACACTTTTAGAAACTTTAAAAAAATTGGACATTTCTTAAGATTGTACCAAGAACACTCTCCACTGACTAAATTATTTTCCTTAACAGGTTGTGTCGCTTAAAAAAGAAGGCACAAGCAGAAGCAAATGCCACAGCTATTAGTAATCTGTTGCCATTTATGGAATATGAAGTGCATACTCAGCTAATGAATAAACTAAAACTCAAAGGAATGAACGCTTTATTTGGACTGAGAATTCAGATCTCAGTCGGTGAAAATATGTTGATGGGCTTAGCGGTGAGTTTCGATGTTTTGGTTTTGTTTTGTGATTCCTGTAGTTGTAGATTCTGTTTTATGTGATTCAAAGAGTCTCCTAAAAAGACTTATCTAAAGATCTGGCATTAAGGCTTTTAAGGCTTTAGGGACATTATAAGAAGTAAAACAAAGCCTAGTGATAGGCTTTCAAATGTTTTTATATTTATAAGATTATTATTTGAAATTAAATTAATAAACTATTATATAAATTTATTTATATTTTATACTATTATTATATTTTTGTATTCTGATCATAATTCCTATGGTCAGATTTCTAAGAATTGCCATGTATAGCTTGTTTTGTAAGTTGGCCACCACTGTTCTGAACTTTATTATTGTTTGTACATTGCTAAAACAGGGTTTCTCCTTCTTGGCACTATTGACATTTGGGGCTGGATAACTCCGTTATATGGAGCTGTCTTGTTCATTGTAGAATGTTTAGCAGCATCCCTGGCCTCTGTCCACTAGATGCTAACAGCTTCCCCACAGTGTGACAACCAAAACTGTCCCCAGATGTTACCAGATGTCCTTTGGGGGACAAAATCACTCCTGAGCGGGGAGGACCACTGTGCCAAAATAATCTTTAGTTTTAATGGAGGAAATCAATACATGAGAGACATGTGCACCAGCGCTCAGCAGTGGATTGTGCAATAAAATACGTGTGTTTCTGAAATGCTAATAAATTGTGAGGCAGTGAAAAGCTCTTTATCTCACCTTCATGTTCACCTTGGCTTATTAGAAAATAAGTTCCAACTAGAAAGTTATCAGTGGGGAAAGTGAGAACTGCCTTTTTAAGTAGCCAGAGAACTAGATACCTGCAAAATATTTATGGAAATTCTCTCATATTCTCCACACTTTGCCAGCCAGAATTTTTGTCTATGTCACCAGTACTTTTCAAATTGGAATTCTCTGTCATCTTTCTGAGACACGCATAGAAATTTAATTTTAAGAAATTTATGGGGGACTTCCGTGGTGCCTCAGTGGGTAAGACTCCGCACTCCCAATGCACAGGGCCCAGGTTTGATCCCTGGTTGGGAACTAGATGCCACACGCCACAACTAAGAAGTCAGCATGCCGCAAGGAAGACCCAGTGCAGCCAAAATAAATAAATAAAAGAAATTTATGGAATTTGGTTTCTTTTTCTCAGTATGCATTTGTAGATAAAATGCTAAATCGTTTCCTGCTTCATCTGTTCTTTCTTATGCAAATTTATGTATGTAGGGGATAATTGTGTGTTGATGATTAATTAGGAAATCTCACTTTTTTAACAAGATGAATTTGCAGTGATTAATAAAGGTAATCTGATTCATATTAAAATACTTGATATTTAGATTAACTTGGGGAAAAGAGTGTTAGTTATAATTCACCCATCTAAAAACTAACAAGCTTAGCGAGGGCATAACATAAATGTGTAGTCAGGCTGAATACAGAACTGTAGCTATTGGTGGGTGTCTTGGGAACTAAGAGCTTGGTTTAGATTCAGAAGTTTAAAGAACATTGTGCCAATTGTAGCAAACACTTTTGATGGTTGAGCCCCAGGAAACTAGTTTGTGACCCTGGTATAATTCTTCAATGCCTGCCTCAAATACTGCCTTTTCTGATTCTTACTAACCTTTTCTTCCTGATCACTAGTGGCACTCATTATAACTGTTTGAGCTTTTGATCTTTGTGCTGTTTTAGCCTGTGCAGTTAAATCTCAAGGTCCTCCTGAGCTACTAAATCTCAAGTAGCCTCCATGATAGCTAATCTCCGACGAGTGCCTCCTGGGTGTCTGGCACTGGGCTGCTCCAGAAAGAATGTAATATTATCTTCACTTTGTAAGATGAGGAAACGGATGCTGTGATAGGTTGAGACTTGTCCAAAGTGATATGGTTACATGTACCGGAACTCAGTTTCAAACCCAGGCCTGTCTAGTTCCAGAGTTTGTGTTCTCAGCCATTCTGGGCTGTTGCCTCATTAGTGAATGCAGTTAAGAAAGTGTCAGAGATGGGGCACTATGGCGCAGAAGGTGTTCTGAGCTTGAGCATCAGAGACTGGGTGGTGAGTGCAGTCATGGACACATGAACAACCCAGGAGAAAGAGCTTCTGGGGATCAGTTTCATCTGGTGCACAGACTTCATCATAGAGTACTATAACCTTTCTAGGAAAGACTTTTACAAAATTGGCAATTGTGTAATAACAATAACAACAACAACAACTCTAACAATTCAAAATACACAAATATCCAGAGTTAAAAGAATTGTCTTCTCTTTTCTCCATTCTACTCCTTTGATGGTAACAATTTGATGTTTGTACTTTTATACATTTTTTTTTTTTGCTTTGCTTTCCTTACAGAAGCATATTTAAACATAAATGTACATAGGTGTGTGTGTGTGTGTGTGTGTGTGTTTTATCTTGTTTTGTATTTCCCCTAATAGTTTTTCAGTACTAATGGCATGTAGTACTTTTACAAAGTCACAATTTAGTAGTTATTTAATTAAATATTTAAAATAAGTCTGTATCAAGTTTTCTCTCTTGGTGATTATGGAGGCAGGATGGTATAGTGAAAAGTTCTTGGTATTTGGAGCCGGAAACAGATTCAAGTCTCTTCCCCACATTTATTGACAGTGTGATCTTGGTTAAGTTTCCTGTCCTTTCTGAACTCAGTTTCTTTACTTGCTTTGCATGTTTCCCTTTTACTTTTGCCACTTTAAATGTAAGCTACTCATTCATGAAAAATTTACTTTTCAACAACTTTCAATCATATTTTTCTTTTTTTTTTTTTTTTTGCGGTACGTAGGCCTCTCACTGTTGTGGCCTCTCCCGCTGTGGAGCACAGGCTCCGGACGCGCAGGCTCAGCGGCCATGGCTCACGGGCCCAGCCGCTCCGCGGCATGTGGGATCTTCCCGGACCGGGGCATGAACCTGCGTCCCCTGCATCGGCAGGCGGACTCTCAACCACTGCGCCACCAGGGAAGCCCTTCATATTTTTATAAGCTGTTTTTTTCAGTGCAGATTTTTACAATCATAACAAAAAACTTTAAAGTCCAGTTGGGTATGCAGTGAAAAGTAAATCATCCTTTCACTGCTGTCCCCGACCTACCCAGAGTTCTTGCTGAAGTAACCAACCCCTGTTACCAGTTCTGATTTTCTGTGCCCTTCCACATATGTCCTATGCAAGCACTGATGCTAATTATCTTTTTCCTTCAGGGCAAGGACCACATTCCTGAATATGAAAACTTAAGGGCTATTATTCTTTAGGTATTTTTTTCTGATTGTTTCCCCATTATTTTTACCAGTCAGCCACAGGTGTGTATTTAGCAGCTTTACCAACGCCTGGTGGTATTCAGATTGCTGGGAAGACTCCTAATGATGGCTCATACGAGCAGCATATATCTCATATGCAGAAGAAGATAAATGACACGATTGCTAAGAATAAAGAATTATATGAAATCAATCCTCCGGTAAGTGAAATACATCTCCACTGTGAATATATAAGTTGCTGTTTAGATTTTAGTATATTTTTAGGTTCTCTTAAAGATTTTTCCGCCACTGTCTAGATTTGCTCTCCTCATTGCTCATTCTTTCACCTCCCTTTACATCCATGCTCAAATGTCTTATTTTTTAGGGAGGCTGACTTTGACCACCCTATTTAAAAAATTAACTCTCCTGTCAATTTTTGGTACTTCCTATCCTCCTTCTGTGTTTTATTGTTTTCTGTTTCTCTTACCTGTGTGTATCTTTGTGTGTGAAATATGTTTTTGATTTTTGTCTACTGCTTGATACTCCCAATAGAATGAAGCTCCATCAGGGCTGTATTCCTAATGGCTAGACCAGTTCCTACTGGTAGTAGCCACCTGATAAATACTTGTTGAATGCCTAAAGAAATGGCCTAAAATGTTCTTTTTTAGTAAAAAGAAAGATTGCTTATCTGTGGTAAATATGTTCAAGAATACAGAGTCTTTTCTTTCTCATTTTGTAGTCACTGTAATAGGTTCCCTGTCAGATTTATCTAGGGCAGGTTAATGTGGAGTGTAAGTAAGATAAATGGATGTGAAGGTGCTGCAGAGGTAGCTGTGTTATGAAACTGTGTGGTTGCAGCCTTATGCAAGGTATGCCCTAGCAATGAACATTGTAAACATTTTTGAAAAACCTTTTTTAAAATAATCCTTTTTTTTTTAAAGATAGTTCCGTTACACCAACAACAGGCTGTGTCTTTTACATTTGTGCTTACATACCCACATTCTCTTGATATTCCTTGTGGCCAGCGGATATTTAGAACCTCTGATTAGCTGTGATCTTTGGCTAAAAAATGGGTGAAAGCTTACTAACCCATACAAGATTGTAGCCTACACTGACCTCAAAAAGATCATTATTGTAACTATCAGAGTTTATTTAGCTAAATAAGTTGCATAGCAAATACATGTATGATATGTGTATTATATAAATATACACATACATAGATACATATATCATATTCCACATTTTACTACGTGAGGCTTTGAAAAATTACCACTGCATAAGATATAAAAGATTAGAATCTTATTTGGGTACATAAATCTTTAATTCTTCATAGGTTGTTAGGACTTTTAAATGCTGAGTAGAAAATACCTTCTGAGCTGGAAGGACCGCCAATTCCCTACTAATTGTTGTGTCCTCTTTTTACACTAGATGTCAGTGTTGTCTTGCTGTGTCTGTGACAGTTTCTGGATTAGTGTATGAAGGTTGCTATTATCAATTAAAGGAAATAGCTATGTACTCTATAAAAGGTTAATTAGTCATAAAGGTGATAATTAAATATGGACTATGAATACATTTTACATACTCCCCTCCCCCCCGGTAGTTTTCTGTTAATATAAAAATGTAAAACCAGACTGAAGCATACAATATCAAATCATTATGTTGAACACCTGAAACTAATAGGTTGCATGTCAGTTGTACCTCAATAAAAAAAGAAAAGACTGCAGTTTACAAAAAACCCCCAAACAGAAAAAGACAGTCATATGATATAAAGCAATTATATTTCTTTTAGGAGATATGTGAAGAGATTATAGGATCACCTATTCCAGAACCTAGACAACGCTCAAGACTTTTGAGATCTCAATCAGAAAGCTCTGATGAAGTTACAGAATTGGACCTTTCACATGGGAAAAAAGATGCATTTGTTTTGGAGGTATTATTACATTGGACTAATTTCTTAACGTTTTTGGAAGATAAGATATATATTTTTACAGTCAGGTCCTAAATTGGTGTAATATTTTTGTATCATTACAACTGTTAAAAATATCAAAAGAATATTTTATTATAGAAATTACAACAGACTTGGTAACATATCTTTTGTTTAACAAAAGTTAAAAAAGTTTCGGAAAACTTTGTTTTGGAAAATTAGTTTCGGAAAAATTAGTGTTTGGGTTGAAATATAATTAAAATATTAAACTGTTGGAGCTTTTTTGGTAAACTTGGATTAATTTCAATAAGGTTCTCTTCTTTCACTTACTATAATTATTACCTGCTTTATATGTCATAACATGTTACTATAATTATAACATTTTTACATGTAACACAATAATATAAGCACTGTGAATTCTGAGTGTAGTGTTTTTTTTTACTGAATTCAGAGGGTGTAATTGAACTTTCATTGTAAAAACGCATCCAGAATGAACTAATAACTTTCTTGGAGAATAAATGTGACATGAAAGGTTTATGGAGCCTGTGCCCTCACAGATCTTCTTCCCATGCACTCCCCTGTAGAATGGTTAGCTTTGAAAGGATAGACGATCTTCCTTTGATATTGAAGGAAAGGAAAATAAATGAGGATACTTAGAAATGTTTTCTGGTAAGGTGCCAGTTAAGAGAAAAAATCAGATGCCTGGATCTCAGTAAAGCAGGAAGGTGACAGTGGAGTTGTATTGGGATGGGATTGGAGGTTTGAAGAGTCTAGAATACTGCCCTTGAATGTGATCAGGATGTCAGCTGTGGGAGATGCTCAAGGCTTAACTGAGGTGAGACTGTTACCTTGTAGAAAACTCAAACCATATGAATTTGTGCCTCTTTCTCATAATCTCTACAGTCTGAGAATGGAGGAAAAAAATGGAGGTTGGTAAAAGGTTAAGGAGTAAAAAGTTCCAGGGTACAGTTTAGAGCAGTTGTACTCAAAGTGCCCTGTGATGGTGGCATCAGCAACAGCTGGGAGCTTGTAAGAAATGCAAACTCTGGGGCCCCTACTTCAGACCTAGTAAATGAAAATTTCAAAGTGGGGCCCAGGAATCTGCTTAACAAACCCTCCAGATGAGGGTTACTTTCACTTCGATCCAGAGCATTTTTCATATTTTCTGATCCAGGGATCCTGGCTAAGTAGAGAACAGAAGTGCTTGGAGTATGGGCAGAAGAGGGCAAGGTGTAGATTCAGTAAGAGAGATGGGGGTTATAGTTGGAGAATGCTGGAGATCTGAGTGTAGAATGTTTTGGGGAATACCACAATCGAGTTATGGCCATGACTGTGAATGGCTAAAGCAAAGTGGAAGTGAAAGTGGTTCTTGACATCTCGGGTGTAAGTCAGGACTTAGATCCCCAATGTACAGATGAATGTCAATATATGTCCAGTTGGATATGTTCATTACTTATAATTCACAACAGAATATTGTGATGTAGGAAAAATGTAATTTGTACTTATTCTTTTAAGACATGCCTTTAAATTTACCCCTATGTAATTTTATTTTAAAGCAGTTCTGTATTTCGTCAAAAGATTTTTTTAAATTGCACTTTATTAATTTAAACAAATAGAGATAATGATTGCTTGTTATCTTTGTAAATCTTTTGGAACATGCCCTCATAAAGACTTGAGAAAAGGCTCGATTTTTTTTAAACTCAATATACTTTATAATGTAAAATATTTCATTTAGAAGTATTTATAATTATTGTGGAAAAATTTATAGATACTACAAAAATTGTTTCAAGTTTTATATTTTAACTTAGGGAAAAATGGCCCTACTTTTCCTTGACTCTTATGTTTTCTATTTAATAAATAATAAAAACGATTTTTAAAAATTTGAAACAATTATATATTTACTACTTATGTGATAGGTTCAATCTTTCATTTTCAGATCGATGACACAGATGCTATGGAAGACGTACATTCTCTACTCACTGATGTTCCGCCTCCTTCAGGTGAACAGAGAAAAATTACCTGGAGATGAGACTAGTTTTGCATATCAGTATTTCAGTTCATAATTATTATAGCACTAACTTTATTTTAACAGCTTTATCAGTGTTACTTTGTGTCACGTTCTTTGCTGCTCCAAGATTGAAAACATCGTTTAAAAATATTTACATTAGAACTTAGGTGAACTGATTTTTAATCTTTTTGTTTATGCATTACAAAAAAAACATGGTAATTTATTAACATGGTCTAAAATTTCCCAGAGGTATAGAGTTTTAGAAAAAAAGAATGAATGGATCTTAGTTAGAACTTCATGTAATAATTGAAAAATGTTATTCTTTTTTTAAAAACTTTATTTATTTATTATTCATTTTTGGCTGCATTGGGTCTTCGTTGCTGCACGTGGCTTTCTCTAGTTGCAGCGAGTGGGGGCTACTTGTCGTTGCAGTGCATGGGGTTCTCATTGCGGTGGCTTCTCTTGTTGCGGAGCTCGGGCTCTAGGCACGTGGGCTTCAGTAGTTGTGGCTCACGGCTCTAGAGTGCAGGCTCAGTACTTGTGGTGCACGGGCTTAGTTGCTCCACAGCATGTAGGATCTTCCCAGACCAGGGCTCGAACCCGTGTCCCCTGCGTTGGCAGGCAGACTCTTAACCACTGTGTCATCAGGGAAGCCCCGAAAAATGTTATTCTTTAACACAAAAATAAATGAAATGTTATCATATGTTTTCCCTATAATTTATTTTGACAGGCTTTTATAGTTGTAATACAGAAATTATGCCTGGTATAAATAATTGGACATCTGAAATACAGGTAAACCTTTTATTCTTTATTTTAAGCAAATATAGCATATGTGATTTTAGCAAGTTTTTTCTTAATATATGTTTTCTTTTCGGCCTCTTTACTGCAGTTAAAATCTTATCTTTAAAAAAAATGCCACAGTAGTTATGATTGTTTATTTTGTTACAGTATTTAGTTCAAAATAATGAAATGACATGCCATTATATCTCCCCATATTTAGATGTTTACATCAGTAAGAGTAATCCGATTAAGCAGCCTTAATCTAACTAATCAAGCCCTCAATAAGAATTTTAATGATCTCTGTGAAAACTTGCTCAAGGTAGGAACCTTTTGACTAACTATACTTTAGCTAAAACTCCTCAGGATCATGAAATTAAAGAAGAAAAGTATTTATATTGTCTGGAATACCTTACACAGTTGCAGGCCGAATTATTTTAATTTACTTATCAGTCTTAACCTGCCATCAAGTAAAATGCTAAAGATGTCCTCTCCATCTTAATATGCCACACTATAAAAGGAATATATTTTAAGTTATTTCATAGCGTTAAACTTCATAAAAATCTATATTTGTAAATTTAAAAAACGCCTTATTTTTTATGACTTAGAAATATGATTAAATCTTATTGTCTGCTTAGATATTAAAAATGTATTCTTAATGAAAGAATAGATGAAACAGAAGTGTTTTAATCTTCTCAACTTTATTTGCCATAGTATAATATACATTAAAAGATCAGTTTTTATAAATTTTTAAATTAAAAGAAATGATATTACTAATATTTTCTTTTGTGTAGAGCCTGTATTTTAAACTACGGTCTATGATCCCCTGCTGCCTTTGCCATGTAAATTTTACAGTATCTCTCCCTGAAGATGAATTAATTCAGGTAACTAAGGTTCAGTCTGTTATTAAAGAAGATTTCTAACTTTGGTCTGTTTTAATATTATACATTTGCCATAATTAAAGAAGTATAAGCTGCTTTACTTCAAAATATTTTTAAATGTACTAGTATGAGGCAGACCTTGTCTGTCTGTTTCACTTTTGTGAACTCTAGTTATCTGAAGGTGTACTCATACGTGTGTTCCAGCGTATGTACACTAGAAGGTGTGCTTCTGTGCGACTTCTCTAGACCCCATCTTTTAGAGAAGGTTTTTGAGCTCTTTCTGGAATACCTACGTTTAGGTATACATGTTGGGCTTAGTTGTAGTCTGAATGTCTGAGTTTATGTGCAGTTCTGGTTGAGAATCTTAACCAGGAAAGGCAAATTAGCCAGTTTGCATAAGTTGTTCCATGGTACTGAAAAAGAATTATAAGAAACTTTTTTGGGGAATGATTGTTTTTCTAATCATATTGTTTCTGTGATTCTAGGTTACAGTCACAGCAGTTGCAATAACTTTTGACAAAAATCAGGCTTTACAGACCACAAAAACACATGCTGAGAAGTCATTGCAAAGAGGTAAACCTATGGCAGATGGCAGGCAGCATAGTTCATGTTTGTCTGTGTTATAATTCAGTGATAAAATATAGAGGATAGGTAGAATAAATAAATGACGTGTTTCTTGACAAGATACTGTCACTTTTTCTGTTTTCTTTATCAAGATAGCTGTGTGGATAAGCATATGGCTGACGATATTTTTCACACATGAATAGGTGGTTGGCTGCTATTTACATAGAAAATGCTGCTGTTTTTTAGAGTTAGCTTATAACATTAGTTCTGCAGTAATTTAGAGGCTCCTATCCTAGGAACTCTGGGGAGGTCCTCAAGGCATCTGAGAACCAACTGATGTAGCAAGCACCATGGATTTTTCTCAGGAAAGGTCCCATAGTGTTCAGCAGATTTTCAGAGTTGTTCTTTATCCAGTAAAATCTAGGAAGTACCATGCTTAATATATTCCAAAGAAATGCAAAATCTTAGAAACCATTTGTGTGTTCTGAAAAAAAAGAAGAGGGAAATAGTATACTTTCTAAAGTTTAATGACTTACTGGCTAAATAAATATTCATGATTAATATTTTTTAAGTTGAATATATCCTACATATAGCATTGAATTAATGTCAGATAGATGTATTAAATGATTATGTGTTCAGATATTTATCAAAAAATATAGATAATAACTGGTTTAAGTGTCACAGAACTAGTATAGTACAAAAAGTAGGATAATAATAATCATTAGTGAGTGCTTATTCTTTGCCAGGCACTGTGCTAAGAGATTTATATACATTACCCTTTCTAAATCTCACAACAGCCCCACCAGAGAAGATAGCAACCACTCTCAATGTCTGCAGCTGAAGGACCCCCATGGAAGAAAGCAAGGACAAAACAACCAGAATTAACTGAGTTGGGGGGAAATTTATATGTTATCCCAGAGTAATTTTTAAAAAATTAGTAAGAGATCATTACTAATTAACTTGTGTTTTTCCTGCCTCTCAAGCCTCTACAGATAATGAAGAACTTCTGCAGTTTCCCCTCGAACTCTGTTCAGATTCACTTCCTTCTCATCCTTTTCCACCGGCTAAAGGTTGGTTAAGTAAGGGAAATGCAAGCACAAATACTAGTTTCTAGATCCTTTTACTTGCCTCTTCACTGTAGGTAATCTTAACTTAATTTTGAGATGGAGATTTATTCTTCATTTCCACATTGTATGTTTCTTCATGTTCATAAAGGCGAGAGAGTAATGTTCCTTTTATTTTAATTTCTCAAGTAATCTCATCATGACTTATTAAGGTAATTTTTTGTGTGATATTCCATTCTTGTAACTCAAATGTATTAAAGTTTTATTTTCAGAGATTTGGATTTCCCAAAGTAACTATTCACATATGGTATATTTTGATATTTATATTATATCTGGTAAATTTTTTTCTAGCAACACTAACCTGCAAAAATTTTTAGATTTTCATAGACAAACAGAATACTTATTTTCTTCAGAAGCTATGTGGAGAGATTTTGGGTGGAGGTTAGTACAAGTGAGAAAGGGATGAGCTTTCTGTCTTTTGGGTGTCTTGGTTATATTTGAGGAACATTTTTTCAAATGCAAAATGATTGTCCCTTAATTCAATAGCAGTAGATCTACTTAGATCTGTACAATCTTTGGAGAAAAGTGGGAGGTGGTTTTTTCCATTTCTCTTCTGATTTCAGTGTAATTTTTATTATAAAAATTTCAGAATTAGTGTACCTTATCTTGTAGCATTACATACACAATAAATGTAGTTTGTGTTTTTTCCTAAGTCCTTTATTCTTAGAAATGATGCTTTTGTTATTTAAAACCAAATTGGCATTTCTAATTTTTCTGTTTTATAATACAAGTGACATTATTTTATGGTTTCCACTTATCAGTTACTTTATCTGATACCGTATTAGTTATAATACAGCATAGTTTTATATTCACATTGCCTATATGTCAATAGAGTACTAAATCAGTGCAAGGCCTGTGTAGATAAATAGATCTTGTCTCATATTTTGAAGCTGAAAAGAAGCTACTTTCAGATTCTGAACTTTCTAACATGGTAACTGTGGCTCTTTTTCCTTTTTGTCTAAATTAAAATTCTAATTTAGAACTCCATAGAGAATTTCTTGAAAGAATAGAGAGGAAAAATCAAATCCAAAGACAATCTGAGTTCAGATTTATAACTTAAACATAGCTTTCAGAACAAAAAGCAGAACAATCTAGAATCTTCCTTGAACTGACTAGATAGGATTTTTTTTTAAACACGTATTTTCTACAGAAACTTATATTTAACACAGGGTTAGTTCCAAACCACTTTTAGGTATCACTTCATTTATCCTTACCCAGCAGTGGTGGCTAGGGGGAAACCAAAACCAAAAACCCAGTCAGCAATGACGAAAAGGTTTGATCAATTGCTAACCTATACAGATACTTATTTGTGGATTTGGGGTCCCTGTTAGCCCAACTTTACCATGTTGTTAATAGCTACTGAATTCTGCAGAAGATTAGATTTAAACTCTGTAAATTGGCCATATCTATATTGATAACTTACAGTTTCTGCGATAGCTTTCAAAATATTTTCAAAGGTAGTGAGAACTAGTGCTTTTTGAAGTCACTAGTATATTTTGTACAGATGATACTCTGAACTTAAAAACAAGGAAAGAAGAATTTGAGTAGAATAAGTCATATCTGAACAGTCCCTAAAATATTTGCAATTTATTTTAAGGAGCATGGAGAGGGGCCATAGGTGGAGTAATAAACCAAGAGACCTGGCTTTTCTTCTCAGTTCTGCTACTGATAAAGTGTGAGAACTTGGGCCAGGTAACCTCTAATTAAGCCACTTTTAGTTCCTCATTTGTAAAATGTGAAAGGATTAAGATTCTCTCTAGCCTTTAAATTTCTCTGATTTCTTGAGTTTCTATAGTTTATGGTTCTTCAATTATTAACATGTCCCTATTATTAAAAACGTAAAAGCTAAATTATGCCTGAGGTCTCACTGAGCTTCTGTTAATTAATTTTCCAAATAACTTCAAATCAGTTAAACCAATGATTTTTAAACTCTGTTCCTCCAGACCATAGAGTTTCTTCAGAGGTGCCTCATGGCCTTCCAGGAGGCAAGGTGCCGGCGGGGTGAGAAGATAGGTCTCTAGACCCCCTACTTCTGAACTAGAGCAGCTTCAATGCACTACACTTTATGTATCAGCTTTCTATATATGATTTTGTTGGAAGAAAGGGTTTCAAAAAGTTTGAAAATCACTGAATCAGATCATGCCACCCTTATCATCATCGTCACCGTCACCATTGTCAGCTTCATAATGATCAATATCATCACGTCTAATACTAATATATATAAAACTTTATTACTAAGTGCTTAACTATAAAACCTATGTGCCTTTCCTTGAATGTTACATTTAAAAATCATCAGTGAACACTAAAAAGTTTATCTGTTTACTTTTTTTAAAGTCGTGTAAATTGTGGTTTACGTTGCATCCTTATGTATTGTCTTTGCGTCCTCATGTCTTGCCAGGAGAACATGGGCTATGATGTATATATTAGAAAAAGTTATCTCGAAGTGTTTTGGATAATTTGAGGATAGGACGGGTTTTGAAAAGGTCTGAAAAGTGTAATAATAGAGTGTTATATCATGAATGTAGTAATTGAACATTGTAACATGAAGGAAGGCTTTGAATAGAGAATAGAAATATCTGGGAAAAGTTAAGCTTAGCAGTTTAGAGGAAATAGGTGGGAGAGAAAGGTGAGGGTGAGGAATAAATGCTCAGAGAACTTCTCTACTTTCTTATCTGCAACCACAAGAGGTTTAAAAGTTAACTACTAATACTGATAAGTAAATAAATATATAGTTTTTATAGTTTTGTTAGGTTAGTTAGCTAAGCTGATCGAGATTTATCTTTTTTAATTCTGAAAACTTTGAATACTAATTTATTTTTCATGTTCTTATCACAAATGGGATAATTTATTAAAATTTTTTATTTCCTTTTATGTTGACAGAGTAGTCTTAAGAGCTATGCACAGTATGTTTATTAACACTTCCATCTTTTCACTTGTAGATAAACCTTTCCTTATCTTTTTGTGTTATTGAAAATGAGTGAGTATTATGTGAAGAAAAGATGCTTCAATAACATGTTTCCTAATTGACAGTGTAGAGTAAGCTTGGGCCTGAATTGTCCATCCATGCTTAATTTTTTTTCCTTCCATCTTTTGTTACATTTGTTACATATTTTTTTTCTCAAGGTAACAGAATACTTTGATGTATGTCTCAAATTTGTGGTTGATTTGGTGTTACCTTGATAGTTACCATGATTTTTCCGATTTGAAATATTAAAACGTGCTGAGCCTAAGTAATTTCTTAAAGGACATTATCATGTGAAGGTCATCAAAATTCTTTGATGAATACTGTGAGGAACAGAGATGATGTGGCATCAGTATAAATTCCTTTTTTTAATGAAGCTGTGTTAAGAAAAAAGAGGACTATAGCAAATTTTTTATACCACTTTCATAATGTTTTTTCCTCCTCATTAATATCTACATGTCAGCTTTCTGAATATCTGTCACTTCACTCTGAAATGGTTTTTTAAGAGGCTTTAAAAATGATATATATTTTTATGAAATGAAAATGAAAAAAGATGGAGCAAATATAGTAAAAATAGGGAATCTGAGTGAATGTAATCTGGGTGAAAATTTTTAAAAAATCAATAAGATATTTCTCATGAACTGTAATTAATCTTAAAAATTTTATGCATGTAATTTTTATAAAAGGTTGGCATGTTACTTTAGATACATGTCTAAAGACCTGAATCTTGAGATATTTGAAACCATATTGAGGGACTTAAGAACTTATATTAGACAAAAGTGTTTGAATTATATACCACTATAAATAGATCTCAAATACTTTATAAATCTAATCTATAATAGGATAATTGCTTTCATTAAAATTCTGAGAGTTTAAGGCTATAAAAGGGTTTAATTAAGTCAGTTTTAGTATTTATATACTGTTGGATGAAACTGTATAGAGGAAAAGTTTTTTATATCACCCTTGTTTCTGTGTCCATTTTGCTTTATGCCGGGGTGGTGGTGGTATCCTCATGTTCAGTGGCATTAGCTGTAGCCTGGGAGAAGTTCTTTTTTCACTGAGCAGTTGCTGATGAATAAGACAAATATAGGTCAAATTCTGGATTTCAGTAAAAAAGAAAACAAGTTTGCTTACACCCTCAATATATTATACTCCATAATTAGGTATCCACATTTGAAGCTTTTTTCTTTATTTTTATGGTAAGCTATCAGAATTACTTTTTGTTAAACCAAATTTGATTTTAAAAGATAGTTTAATTTTTTAAACTTAAATGACTTGCCTCACATTATTTTAACTTGTAATTAGAAATATAAATCTATAAGACCTACAAAAGTTAGCTCTTCCTTTTTCCTGCCAACTAATGGTTCTGAATTCTTACAAGTATATATAATTCTTTATGCTAACTAAAAATGTTTTTATGTATTAAGAGTTCATTCCATGTCTGTTTTCTCTCTTATTTTTTTTAAGATATATTTTGTCACTGTGACCAAATGGTAGCAACTATAAAAAATGCTAAAGTTCTTCATGTTATCTGTGGCCACAGCAGTGAGTGAGGGCTCCTGAAAGGAGAAAAATGCTGAGGGGAAGGAGAATGAGAGGAAAACAGAAACTAAAGAGTGGAAAATGTGAAAACCTCATCCAAGAAGTGGGAAGGAGAGAAAGAGTTGATGGAGAAGTAGAGATAAGGAATCTTAGCTTCTCCAAGAGCTCGAGGGCAGTGAAATCCAGAGTCAGAGGAAGAGGGAGTGAAAAGCAAAGAAAATTGAATTGGGTTACTGACCCAAAACAAGGATTATTTGGAAAAAAGGATACAAAGGATGGGAGTGAGAGGAAGAGTGAATGATGGGGATTGAAGAAGAAAAGCAAGTGAGTTAGAATGTTGCACACCCGGGGTTGGAAGCTTTAATGACTCAAATAGGGCAGCTAATTGCCTTTTGTCATCTACTGTACGTATTACCTGTGTAGCTATGTAGTTGAATTTTTTTTTTACTAGTGGAATATCCAGATCAAAGCAATTTGTGTCTTTCTGTATGCCTTAGTAATTTTTAACTAATATGGCAATTTCATTATCAATCCACCAATATTTAAAGACCATTATGGACCAGATTTATACTGAATGTTTATGTACATCATTTGTTTAACTCAGTCATTAAGCCAGATTTTATAGTTACAAGACATAGCTGATCCATGCATTATAGATTGATGGAAGTGCTTAAAGGGACATAAAACCAAATTTTGATCATAATCATTTAAAACTAAGAATAGTTAAACAGGAAAATAAAACATACAGTTTAGAGACTCCAGATTGCATATATTTTAATCTGCCAGAGAACCTTTTCAGAATTTGCAGGAGGTTTTTCAAATTTTGTAATTTTCTTAGGGTGACTGGAAAAGATTATCTCAAATACTTTTTAGTTATTCAAAGCAAAGGTGATCTGTAAATTTTAATGGTAGAAAGTAAGTTGTTAGAAGACTAGTCAGTGTAAAACTTTATCATAGCTAACCCATACCTTTGTCATGGGTTATTTAGGAGAATGGAAGCATCTCAAACTTTGGAAGCACTGGCAGGTGTATAATTGAGGGAGGAGGAATTCTTGCAACATTTCTTTTTCTGTTTTTCATCTGTATGCTCATTTCCACTAAACTGCTTTAATCTAGGTTAATCCCCCTCCCCACTCCGCTAAGGCCTGTTAAAAATTGCTCAAGTGTAGTAAGAAAATAGTCAATCTGCATGTTCTGTTTGCCTCAGTAACTTTCTAGGGTTGTTTTTTGAGGGATAGCGGGATTATCAGTAACTGGTGACTTTTTAAAAAAGCAAAATTGTATTCAGTGGGGAAGGAAATGCTAAGAGAAGTGGGCTGCTGGGTGGCTTGCTGTAGACTGTCTTTGCAGCTACAGTGGGGCCTCGCATACGAAGTATTTGTGTCAAACTCTTCCACAGAGATGTGCAAATTGCCAGAACTGGGTGCCAGCCCCTCAACAAAGCCCAAAGGACTTTTAATAAGGTTTTTACCCCTGAGTATGAAATATGTTGTCTTTTTTTAAGTATTGGCTTAGAGATTGCATACGGATTTATTTATTCTTAAGCAGAATTACTGCTTTGTCAGTGAGCCAGACAGCTAATATCTGCAGTTCCTTCTCTTGTGAAAAGCCTGTTATTACCTGGGAAGCCAAACTGTAATTGGAAGGAGCAGAGTGACCGAGAATCTGAGGTCATTAGATATTTGAGGTGTTCAGACCAGTCCGAGTTGCTGACGTCCAGCTGCTGCCAGGACCAGCTCCTCTTGGGCCTTTTCTCTGAGAGAAAACATGAGCATCCTGGCAAGCATGTTAGGAGACGAACCTGCTCTCCTTCAGTGAGGTCAAAAATCTTGTCGCTCAGCCATGTCTCTAATTTAAAAGTTTTGTTCTTTTAAAATTTTAATTCAAACACATTCATATTTGAGGGCAGGGAATAAATATTTTCCCTCACTTGTTTCTCCTCTTCCCTACCTTTCATAAAATTTTTTTTGGAAAAGTAGTAAGTGTACTAAGTGTACATGGTGAAAAATTCAAATACTACAAAAAAAATCACATTGTCCAAAATAAAGCTTCCTTCTCCCTTCGTTTTCCTTCCCAAGAGGCAGATACTCTTTAACAGGTTACTGTCTGTCTTTACAAAGATACTCTATCCTTTTTTAAAAACACAAATATTCTACAGATCATTGTATACCTCTGTTTTTTTCCACCTGACATATTTAGAGATGGGAACAGATACCTTCTACATGTTTAAGCTCTTTTCATGGGTACTTGCCATTAAATTATATACAGTTGCTACTGGAGAATTCCGTATTACCAAGATAATATCAAGGTATAGAGGACAATTTTAGTAATTTTCACTTTTTCTTTTAGTTTCCTTCCCATCCGCACATTTTAAAAACTTTCACAGAATACCTAATGCCGACTATATTTTCTGTGTCTATACTTACCGAGGCTATACTGCACAGGACATACGAGAGCTCTAGGACACTCCTGGGATGTATGAGCCTGGGGTGGGCTATTTACTGTCCCAGCTTCTGCACTGGGTCTGTTTCCAGGCTGAGCTGTCCCTAGAGATCTGGTAAGCCTCTGAATGTCAGTTCTGTTCTGGTCTTCCTCCTGTAGGTCCCATCGCTTCCTGGGCTTCCATTGCCCCTCAGGATCCTGAATCAGGAGGATACTCCCTCTAGAACTACAGTCTGAGGGCATGATGGTCAGGGCGCATCCAGCGTGATCTCCTCATAGCCATTGTATGGACCTCACCTAGTGATCCCTTTTATCGGACAGTTCTGTATTGTAAGAGGATTGTCAGCCACTGTACACTCTCCAGTATTAGCTTGTGGTCATTGCCTTAAAAACTGGGGGGTGGGGTGGGTGCGGGAGATACTTCCATTGCACCCAATTAACAGAAACATTCTATAAATCCAATTTTTGAAAAGTATAACTTTTGCTAATTTAAGAATATTACCAGAAGGTCAACACATTAAGCAGAGACAAAAATACATATATTTACTTAGTTTATAATTAAAAAAAAGACTGGCTGACCCAAGTTATTCTTAGTGTCTTTATGTGTTATTTCTATCTTGGCCACACTATATTCTCAGTTCTGAAATTCTTTGAAACAAAAATTCAAGTAATGCCAGTGTGGATAGAGCCTGAACATTAGAAATGGATTATGAAGTTTTCTTTTTTTTATAGTACTGTTTAAATTTGTACAATGACTTAAATATCTATAGTAAAAATATAAACTATCAGGGAGAATGCAGGATGCTGCTTTTATGAGCTTACTGTAAAGGGGATTCTAGTTTGGGATTCCTAGTTATTTCCGTGGAGAGCGGTCACCTTTTAGTTCCACAAAGTCTTGATAGCTCCAGAAGGAGCTGTTGAAAGCGAAGGCCTTGAATGAAGGGATTGGTGGTGAGGGGGCAGGTCAGGCTGAGGTTTATGTTTATCTGTGAGACATAGGTCATCGCCTTGTCTGTAATTTTTAATCTTACTGGCTCTTCCGCCACAAACATTTCCCTTCTGTTTTTCATTTCAGATTTTCTTCCCAGTAGGTTGACCCTTTTCTCTGTTCAGTTTTCTCACGTCCCGCTTCCATCCCACTAACATTTGTTACTGTGTTGATATTTTGTGTGTAGAGTTTCTGAAACCTTTTTTGTGTTATAGTAACAAGTAATCTTTCTTGGCATGGTATTTATTAATGAAGCTAGTTTTCATATATCAATAGAAACTGTGTTTTAAACCTAAATACTTCTATTTGGTTTACTTTTATAATGAAGCCATAAAGATTCCCTCCTATTTGTCTGGCTTTTAGAGAGTATTAACCAAGAGCAAAGAAGAGATACTGGCTTATACTTAGCACCCAAGCTAATGTTGTTCATATTGTCTTATTAGAACACCTGGAGAGTGCAAGTTCTAACTCAGGTATACCAGCTGCACAGAGAGGTGAGTTTGTCTAATCAAGCAAATAGTCTCCAAAGGTGTGAAATTCTAGTGTGGTGATTCATGAGCGTACAGACATCAGAGAAATGCACTCCATGGACGATGGAATAGACACCAAAATGTGGCTTTATTGTAGTTAGAATGTGTCTTACAAAATAGTAATTAAACAAATATTCACATTTTTAGCATTTTAATAGTGTCCCACTTTCTAAAACTAAAGCTTTAGCTTTTTAACATTGTTTTTTAGCTCAGCAGTGGTAAAAGTTATTCTTTTTAAAATGAGAACTTGTTAGGCTCACACTTGCCCCTCACCCCATGTTATCAGAAGCTTTGTCGCCAAAATCAGACATGGAAATAGAATATTGACAAAAATGACCCTTTGGCTTTCCTGTTACTATTGGTAGAAAGAAGATATTTTAATAAAAGATAAGTTAGTGATTTTTTTTCATGTATTCTTCACCATTTGATTCTCATTATTTTTATTTTTGATTTCAGGGTAAAATTAGGGCAAGGAATTATTCACAAAGTTCTGATTGTAAATTAAAGCCCTGAATATAAACAGCTAAAACAGTGTGAAGTAAAAAGAATGGGAAATGAAGTTAGTTAAAACACAGCGTATGGTCCTTTCCCTGATCTCTCTGTTAGACCCGCTTCCATTCCCCCTAAGAGACCACACAGCTGTGACATCACCAAAGATGCTCAGCCAGCCAAGAACTTGGTTTCGGACAAATCAGTGTCTGAAGCTTGACTCTTTACTATCTCTCTTACCTGACTTGAAAAGGACCACTTTTTCCCCTAAGTCACAGTTAAATTACGTCATCGGAAGGAGTGTTTTGACGAGTAAGAGACGTCATCCATATTTTTTCTTTGTTTTTTCTTTTGTTTTCTGTCTGTGTTTTCAGCAACGTCAGTTGATTACAGTTCCTTTGCAGACAGATGCAGCAGCTGGATAGAGCTCATTAAACTGAAAGCTCAGACCATAAGGCGTGGATCAATTAAGACAAGTAGGCGGATGTTTCTACCATGTTACAATCTGAGAAGCATATCCTTGATTTCCCAGTGGTGAAGGCTAGACCTGACTACTCAGTAATAACATTGCCAATCAATCATGCATTGGAGTGTGAAAGCTGCAGACTCTAAAGGTCATTTAGCAAAAGCTATTGAAGGGCCTTTAGATTTTTTTAACTTTAACTGTAGGGTTGTGTTTTTAGTATTTTATTTTTGTGAAGGTATTCTTGAAAGTATATAGATATTATATCATCTAGTGTAAGGAAATGATGAGCTCTCTTATTGAAGAGACACTCTTCCAGGACCCAAGGTACTAGGTAGTGTATGGTATTTGTCAGTTTACTAAGAGCGATGTCCAGAGTGATAAAAGAATGAGGTATTTCCAGAGAGAAAGTGGTCAACTCTTATCTCACTGCTAGACTCAGGATCAGTACTTACATGTTCTTTATCTATACTCCATGTGTTTTGGTAGACTTTGAGGTATTTGAGTGAAAGATTTTACATTAAAGGGAAGGAACTGTGTTTTAGGGGGAAGATCACAAGATATGGAACCAGCCAGCTCTGGTTTTGAATCCTAGTAGTGCCATTTTAATAGCTGTGTGACCTTGGGCAAGTTATTTAAGTTTTGTGAACCTCAGTTTCCTCACGTGTAAAATGGAGATAACACCTACGTTGCTGGGTTGTTGTAAGGATTATATATATACATATATGTGTGTGTGTGTATATATATGTATATATGTCTGGTTTATAGTAGTTATTTGATAAGTGGTAGCTATTATTTGTTATTTTATGAACAAACAACTTTTAGACAGCCAAGGTCATTTGTTGAATTTTTTAAATTATGAGTTTGATCGAGAAGGTTTGGAAAAGAAACCTACTACAACTAGTTAAGATATGGTTTATCTACAAGTTGACAATGATGAAGTTGTCTGAAAAAAAGATGGAAAAAGCTGCACTGGGAAATGTAACAACTTTCACACTCTCCTTGTAATAATTTGTTCCTACAGCAGATAATTTTTAATGCTCTACCGCTTTTTCTTCACTTTATAACGATCATTGTGTGTGTAGCTCCACCTCATCAACATTTTCTTTTGCAGGAATGCCATTTTTCTTCCAAAAGATTCCATTCCAGCATTTCCTCTTACGTTTTTCTTTCTCTCTCTATTTTTAATTGCATGCAGTGCATGATAATTTCTTTTCTTTCATGACATGGCTTAGCCTCACAGACAGCTGAATGTTGTCACCACTTATTTGGAAACCTTAGGGAATAATTGAGTCACCAGCATATGATCTTGATGCTTTCTCTTCTTTCTCCAATTTTAGCTGTGACAGTCGAAAAAGCAAGTCCAGTGGGTGAAGGAAATTTCCGGAATCGTTCTTCTCCACCTTGTGCAAATTCTACAGTTGGCGTGGTTAAGATGACACCTCTTTCCTTCATTCCTGGAGCAAAAATAACAAAATATCTTGGGATAATTAACATGTTTTTTATTCGGGAAACCACTTCTCTTCGTGAGGTAATTTTATAGTTGTTATTTAATTGTTTTTGTGCGTTTTCTGTGGTTGAAGATATTAGTATCAAAACCAAACAAGTTTCAAATTGGTTGTTTATTTGCCAGAAGTAACACAGACACACACACACACACACACACACACACCTTTTTCATAACCTGTCTGGATTGTCTCTAGCAGCTAGTATTATCACAAGAGTTGTGTTGTGTTTAATCCCATTTATTATTAGAAACTCCAGGTCCTTATCATGTGGTAACTAAAACAAATAAATGTATCCGTGTTTGATTAGAGGTTTAAAACAGCCCTGAAAGAACAGCTTAGTCTTCTCAGTAGGTATTTGCCTGAGATATATTTAAATAGCAATTTTTAAGGGTTTACATTTAGAAATAGTAAGGGACTGTATCATGGAGAGATGTCTTGGGGATTGTTTATGTCATTTAGCTCTATCGTTTTCTTCCTCTGAAAAAAACTGAGGCCGCTTGTTTTCTTCCCCTCTCGCCGTCAGTGTGTAAAAATGTTCAAGTTCTTACCTCACACTGGCTGGGTATCATTAAACTTTAATTTGTTTTTTTAAGTAACAGCAGTTCTAATCTTCTACTTGATGTAGTCAAAGTTAAGAATCAGAGTCAGCCTATTATATTTTGCATTACAGAGGAATTTAAACTCAAGAAAAGATTATATTTCTATTTGTCTTATGTTTTGGAGCAGGACTGCTAAGCAAATTACTGTGAATGGGGAAAATTTTTAATTATTTAGGTGTGAAACCCAATAAACTCTTCAAAATTTACTTCAGCGGTAGTTTGTATTTTTAAAAAGTGTGTTCATTATAAACATGACTTAACTGTGCTTTTTCCCCATTGCTTCACTAGCAATGTTTCTGTACTTTCTTGGAAATAACAGCTTGCTTATTAATTTTTGATATCATGCTCACCCTCCTGCACCTAGCACAGTGCCTGGTGCAGAGTAAACATAAGTTGTTTTTGTGTAAGTGAGGGAGTGACTTCTGACAGATTAATTAGATAGATGTTTCCTTTAAGATAAATTACTTTTAAAATCATATTCTAATTGTGTTGAGATGGGAAAGAAACTATCTTAAGATGCTCTCAAAAACCTTTTAGTGTAGAATTAAAATAGGAGACACTTTTGTTAAGTTTGACGAAGAAATTTGGGTGTGAGAAGCTGGCATAGATTGGTGAATTGGCCTTTTCCGGTTGCTCTTACTAGCACATGGATATTGTACTATTGAATCCATACACTTTTATTTCCTAAGTGCCTTCTCTACTGCTTAAGCAACCATACCCCAAAATGTTACTTCACAGTAGATTTCCTTTCAACAGAGATTTGTAATATTAACTGTATGGTATAATATCCCAAATTTATTCATTGCTTGATGAATTATTTGCTTACAATTATATAATCTTTTAAAAATTACCCCTCTGTAGTCTCTTTTACTCTGCTATCAGAATTTCTTGATTTGAGATGGAGGAGGAAAACTGATAAAAGTACAAGAAAAAACTGTCCCGGGTGATGATTGAGTCAGAGGCAGGCTGACACAACTCACTTAATTCCTTAATTACAAAGAGAGATACCTGTACAAAACTTTATGTACCATCCTGTGACTTTTCAGAAAGATGTGACCTGGATGAGTGGTTCTTCTAACAGTGTGTTAAATTTTGCCCTTAACCTCCAGTTTAAAGTTGGAAATTTCTTCCTAGACTATAAATAACATCCAGTAAAATTTGTGGAAAACTTAGGTTGAGAAGCATTTTAAGCTCTCATTTAGCCTTTGGTTTCTGTTTTGTTTGTTTTTGAACACTGAAAAAGTTCCCCAAACTATTGGATTTCATTCCCTAACTAATGCGTACGGACCACTTAGTACGTGCATCTGTTGAAGTAAGTGTCAGCGCACAGCAGAGTCAGTTCCCGACCTGATGGGATTTAGTCTAGTGGAACTCGGGCATGGTGGACAGTAAATAAATAATCATGTGATTAATAGGTAACTCCTAGTAATAGTAAGTCATATAAAGAAATAAAACAGGGCCTGTCAGAGAATATAATGGGAGAACTTAATTTAGATCTGATAAGGAAGGTTTCTCTGAGGAAGTCACATGTAAACCAGGACCTGAAGAACTGAGTAAAAGTTACCCTGGTGGAAAATTGGGTGTGGAACCTACATGTGCAATGACCCCGAGGCAGGAAAAGATGTCACACCTTTGAGAAACTGAAAAAGACAAGTGCGACTGGAACCTGGTTCATTTTCAGAATAGGAGATATGGATAGCCGGGAAGTCTCATTGTTTTTATTTACCATCAGTTTATTTGAATGATGATGGGAATGACTTGGTAGAGGGAGGTGCTGAAGATGGAGGGACAGTTAGAACTCTTGCTCGGCCGTCTGTCCACTAGCTCTGTGGTCCTGGCTCGTCATGGGCACGTCACAGATTCGCTGAGCTTCAGTTTCATCACCTGTAAAACGAAGATAGTGATCCCTGTCGTAGACATGTGCTCAGTAAAGGTTGGTTTGTTCATTCGTGCAACAAATCCCCGTTATGGAGGGAATTAAAATGATCGTCCGTTATATTAAGATCACCTAAGATGTTTTAATATGTATTCTTTGATGTTTTATGTACATTAGTTTACACATGTATCCAGTTTGGTTTTTTGCGCGTCATCATTTAGGAAGGAGGTGTCAGTGGTTTTCTCCATGCTTTTATTGCTGAAGTGTTTGCGATGGTGAGAGCTCACGTGGCTGCACTGGGAGGGAACGCTGTTGTCTCCTACATAATGAAGCAGTGTGTCTTCATGGAGAATCCAAATAAAAACCAGGTGAGATGGGGTTAAAAACCTCTGATGGCGGGAACCTGTGAATGTATCCCATGGCCTTTTCACCTCCCACCCTCCCCCGAAAAAGAGAATTGCTCTTCAAAGCTCTTTGATTCTAGAGGCTTAAAACATGTTTTAATGAATATGTTGGTAACCATGGTCCTGCATAGGTCAGATGCTGTTTTCACATCCCCAGTGACTAGTTATTATTCTTAAATACCTCTGGAAGTTTTGCTCCTAAATTACTGTTTCCTCCACCTTCTTGGTGGGTCTTTGGGATCCAGTGATGGCTAACGGAGGACAGTTAAAGACGCCCTCTGGTTTGGAATGTGATGCTGTCCAGTTCTAACCGCCCTGCTGGTGAAGAGTACATCATGATGGGGCCACACTGTTTGTTTATTTCTAATAAGTAATATAATTCTGTTAATGGGGACAAGGGAATGTTGCTTAGGTTAAATCTTAGAATAAATTTCTTTTATCAGTTTTTTAATAACTCACAATTGTTAAAAATCCCTTTAAAAATTAAATAACTATATTAATGAGTTTGTTTGTTTCCTGTGAATTGCCTTCTTATCCTTTGCTCATTTTTCTCTTGGGTTGTACGCTTCTTCAGCTCTACGGCACTGCCCCCAGGGTAGCCAGAAGAGTATGAGCGTGTTGCTGAGTTTGTGACTGAACATGTCCTGTTGTTCTTATAGGCACAGTGTCTTATAAACGTAAGTGGTGATGCAGTGGTTTTTGTTCGTGAATCTGAATTAGAAGTGGTGTCAACTCAGCAACCTGCTGCCACCTGCCAGCCCTCATGTACTGGTGGAGAAGTTACAACCTGAAGTCAGTTAGAAAGAATGAGCTTCACTAAATGACATTCATGGGTCTCCTTTGTTTTGTCATTCATTTATCTTACTAGATGTAAAAAATGGACTTGAGAGAATTGAGGAAGAATTGATACATTATGAGTATATTGGATTTGTCTGGGATCACTTGGAGGCCTGAGAATGTTCAAATCTTGACATTTTAGTTTGGCCAGCCTAGATGGACAGGCCCCATGGAGCCTTGACCGCACCTCCCCCCCAGGAAGTTCGGATAAACTTCTCTGAGAACTGTAGTAAAGATGGAAGCTATGTATAATTTATGTTGATTTTAATAAAATCATAATTTAGAAAATTAAATGGTAAGATTATCAGGAAATTAGGATAGCTCTCCTAGTGTAATTTAGAGAAACTATGCAAGAAATGAACAAATTGTTAATGAGTAAGTCATCTGATTCGAGGAATGTATGGGGAAAATGGAGAAAAGTTTTCAGAAAACTATGTGGGCTTCTTAGTATGTTATTTTGATGAGGAATTTGGTAACAACTGAAAGGGAAAATTGCTTCAGCCATCTTTGAAAAAGAAGTTAAAATTCTGCAACTTGTATCCATAATATGTCCTAACTACTGGAAAAGAAAAGTAATTTATCAGAGCCAGTGTCCTTCCATTGGAAGTTTAAATAAGGAAGGAGGAAAAACATTACTATATAACTTCGTTTCTAGCCAAGTTTCAATTTGTGTTTAATTTGTCTGGAAGAGGCTTGGCTTCAACTGGGAAGAAAAGGCCAGTGAATTTTGTTGAAGTAGTTAAAATATAATTGATCTAGAAGGAACACAAAATTATTTTCTAATAAAGTCATACTGCACTCCCACCAAATAAACAGAATTTTAGTAATATCTTAGGGATTTTTGATGGTGAGTTAGACTGTATTTGGCATAGAGTTTGGAAATGTAACTTGAATGTAAATATGCTGCAGAATGTTGAATATATGGATAGAAGTACTTTTTTTGTCAATGCCAAATACCTATTACAAGTGAACCTTTAAAAGTACATTCCTCCTTTGCACAACAAAATTTCTTTATAAAACTCATGATTTTGCTCTTCCAGGATAACAACTGCCCTAAAGATTAGGAGTCATTTCCTTGTTATCACAGGTGTCAATATTTTTCTGTACCTTGTTTATAATTTTATTTTTTAAATAAAAAGTTTATAAACTGGAATATTCCTAAATCTCTTTTTTTGCCTGTTTGATGTAGTACTGTCAGTGGTCAGAAATCACTTTCCATCTGATCATCTCCATTCATTTCTTTAGTTAACAGTCATCTGTTGTGCGTGTGCTATATGCAAGGCCCTGTTCTTAATTTGGGGGAAAAATACATATGTAATTGTGCTACTCTCATTGCCTTTGGTAGGAAACCTACACTATTAAGTGAGAAAATGTGTGTAGCTTGGGGTGAAGGTAGCTTCCCCAAGGAAATGATACTTAAGCTCAGTCTAGAAAAATAGGCAGGTCCCTGGAATTGACTGACTTATTCATAGTTTTATTTATCCAGCCAGCCAGCCAGCAGCTATTTGGGGATTCCTGAGTATGTTTCTGAGTCCTTTCTTGGCAGGGGATTCATAATGTAATTATCACTAATTGAGTACCTGTTTTGTGCCACATCCTGTGCATATGCATTGTTACTAATTCTTAAAACATAAAACTAGCTGGGTGACGTTATCTCCATTTTGGTCCGAATATTTGGATACTCAACAGAGGCACAGGCTGATTTCTAGAAAAGCCAGAGTTACAGAACTCAGGCTTGCTGTCTGCAGACCCAGGCTGTTTGCTCGGTGTGGGTTACCTGTGAAGTACAGTCAGCCCATGCCAAGATTGGCTCCTTCCAGAAAAGCTGATGTTACCTGATGCCCCAAGAGTTGCTGCTGTTCCCTGTGTGTGGATTCCCTCAGAAACATCATTTTAGACGTGCTGGGACTTAATCTTTTGGAAATATTGAGGCCAGTTATGGGATCTAACAGCACACCTCACAGTATCTCTTTCATTCTTTATTCTTTATTTCATTCTTTATTATTTATTCTCTTTCATTCTTTATTACAAAGCTTAACTACACAATTTAACCAATACTTTGTTAGTTTGCTAGACTCACTGTCCCACTTCCTCCACCTCCTACTCTGCTGTAATCCATCACCATCTGGCTTCCATCACCTGATCTACCCCTAAATTTGAACATGCCAAGGATGCCAAGTGTTGGATTTCAATATTGCAGCGTCAGATAGCTGACAGGCTTCTTCATGCATACACATATAATTTTTCATAAATGCGTAAATTGGATCATGTACATAATTTTTAAAAAGTGGTTTTATTTTTTACCTTTACACCTAGCTTTCTCTTCCCCCATATCATCCCTCCCAATCCATGTTAATAACTTAGTATGTATCCTTATTACATATTAAAGTATGCTAATAAGGTATAATTTACATTCAATAAAATTTAAGTGTACAAGTTTTGACAAATAGGTTCAGTTGCGTAACCAAGATAAAGAACATTTCGTCCCCCGAAGAGCACACCCTGTTCCCTTTTGCAGTCAGTTCACTTCCCCTTCCATGTAAATAGGATCTTGTGCTTGGTAAATTTCACTTAGTATAATACTTTCTAGATGCATCCCCATTTGGACATTTTTGCCTATTATGAATAAAACCTTTTTATTTAAGTTCACACTTTCCTGTGAAAATAGGATTTCTGTTCTATGGGGTTGACTTCTTCTTATTGATAGATAATCTGCCATATGTGTGACAAAACTTCCCCTGATTTTGCTGTCCATCCATGTAGCTTATGGCAACTTTGATCATATCCAAACTTGTAATTTTATTATAGATAGTATGACTTTCGTTCCTTAGATTCCCTGAGTTAAGATGACCTCCCCTCGAGTTTTTGGCTGTCTTGCAGGTTCATGCAACTTGTCCTGAATTGCTTTCGTCTTGGTGGCTCCCCATCAGACTTGCTACCTTCATTATTTGTTATTAGATAAATGCCATCACCACTTGACCAGTTTTAGCTTGAGTCAGACGCCTGAGAGATTCACAGTCTTCCCACGATAGCCCCCAGCCACACTGAACGAGATGCAGAAAAATGTGGAAGCATGAAAATGTATGTTACGCGAAAGCAACATATTTATTGTCAAACACTTTTGTAGCTTTTTCTTTTTTCAGGGGGAGGGTCTTTCAACGAGTACTTTGAGAATCTGATCTAAGCTCTGTACCTTGTCTCCAGAAGAATAAGCATACATGTAAAATTTTGCACACTACTTCAGGAGGTTTATCAAAAACCCTTCGTTGACCTCAAGTTAAATCTAGTATAGGCTGAATGGAGGGGAATAAGGAACCAGGCTGAAGGAAATATTGGGAAGGATTGGGTAAATCCTATCCTAAAAAGTTTTGACTTTTCTCCAGTAGAAATGTCAAGACATTTTTAAGATTAGACTTTTAAACTTTAAAAAATACATATTTATAGTAGGCAGAATAATGGCCCTCCTGCCACCCTCTGCAAAGCTGAATCTCCAGGGCCTGTGAATCTATTACCTTAGATGACAAAAGGGACTTTGAAGTTAGGATCAAAGCTAAAGACCTTGAGATGGGGAAATTATCCAAGGTTATCTTCGAGGGTCCTCGAATCTAATCAGTTGAATCCTTAAAAGTGGAAAGGAGGGGTAGAAGAGTAGGTCAGAGAGATTCGATGAGAGGTGAACTCAACCTGCTGGCTTTCAAGAAGGAAGAAGGGAGCTACAAACCAAGGAATGTGGGTGGCATCTGGATGCTGACAGCCAGCAAGGAAACGGGGTTCTCAGTTCTACAACTGCAAGGAACTGAATTTTGCCAACAGCTTAAATGGGTGAGGAAACAGATTCTCCCCTCGAGCCTCTAGAAAGGAACAGGGCTGAAGCCAACAGCTTGGTTTTAGCCTGGTGAGACCCACGTCAGACTTATGACCTGTGGAACTGTAAGATAAACTTAAGTCACTCGGTTTGTGATCATTTGTTATGGTAGCAATGGAAAACTAATACAAGTTCTCATAAGTTTAAATTGTAGAGATACAGTTCAAGTATCAAGTTACCATAGTTATGCCACTTACGGTAACATCTAATATGAAATGCTTCGCAGACTCAAGGTACAATTGTAACTTTTATTTTCCAATTAATTTTTTAATTGGAATACACATCTGAATAATTAGCAGAAATCCATAATCTCCAGTCTTTGAAGTCATCGTCAATTCTGGGGGCTTGAAACAGTCCCCCAGATATTCAATCAGCTTCCAGAACCTCTTTGGTTTGCATTTGCTTCTCACTGCCACATGGTGTCGCTGTTGGAATGGGTTCCACACAGTAGAAGATGGTCTTCTGCAGCAAGGGTGCCAAACCGGCCAAGGCTCCCATACAGGTTTCCAGGATTCTTTAGCAGGTAATTTCCTCCATGCCTACTCCATTCGAGGAAGGCTGCCAAGTTTCAGTTCCTAGTGCTCAGCAGCTGTCAATTGAGTTGTGAGAGCTATATATTCTAGATGTCAGGTTTTTTTAAAAAATACGTATTTTGCAAATATTTCCCCTCAGTCTGTGGCTTATTTTGTGTTCCTTAAACATTATCTTTTGAGGAAAAGAAGTGTTTAATTTTGATGAAGTCTAATTCTTTTTTTTTCTTTTTTGGTTTGTGCTGTGTTCTATCTAAGAAATTTTTGCCTGATGAACCTCACAAACATTTTCTAGAAATTTCACAGTTTTTGGCTTTACATTTGGGTACATGATCATTTCAAGTTACATTTTTATATGGTGTGAGGTAGGGGTCAAGGATTCATTCATTCATTTGCTTGCATATGGATGTCCAATTTCTCCAGCAATGGACAATGTTGACTAGCTTTTCTACATTGGATTGACATGGCATCTTTGTTGAAAATTGATTTTTAGTATATACAAGTATAATTGATTTTTTACATTGATCTTGCATCCTGCAGCCATGTATTGATTCTAGTAGATTTTTCCGTGTTTCTTTGGAGTTTTCATGTAGACAATCATTTTATAATTGTACATGGGGACAGTTTTATTTATTCCTTTGAATCTAAATAGCTTATATTTATTTTCCTTGTTCCTTACTAAATTGGCCGTATTAATTATTACCTTATTAAATTATTAAGTAAATATAAGGTAGAGTGATAAGGGTGGATATTCTAGCCTGTTCCAGACCTCAGGGGGAAGGCATTCACTATTAAGTATGATGTTATCTGTGGGTTTTTCCAACATGCTCTGAATATTATCAAGTGCTTACTCTCCATCTACTGAGATGCTCAGATGAATTTTCTTCTTCAGTTTGCTGATATGGTGAATTACACATTGATTTTCAAATGTTAAAACCAAATTTTCAAATGTTAAACAAAATGTTCCCTCCTTTTTTATTTTCCAGAAGTTTGTCTAAAATTGATGCTATTTTTTTCCATAAATGTGTGATAGAATTTGCCTATGAAGGCATCTAAGTCTTGAGTTTTCTTTGTTCAAATATCTTTAACTATAAATTGATTTTATTGAATTTATTAATAGATATGGGGCTGTTCAGGTTATCTTTTTCTTCTTGTGTAAGCATTGGTAGTTTGTGTCTAAGTAATTTGTTTTTTCTGATTTGTGGTTTATTGCTATAAAGTTATTAATACTAGCTCCTTATTTATCTTTGTAATATTTGTGGGAACTGTAGTGATGTATCCTCTTTAATTCCTGATATCGGTAATTTGCGGCTCCTCACTTCTTTTCTTGATAAGCTTGGCTGGAAGTTTATGTCATTAATTGACTTTTTCAAAGAACCCGCTTTTGGTTTTATTGATTTTTCTCTATTGTTTTTTCCTCTGTTGTCAATGCTATTTGAGTCTGCTCTTATCTTTATATTTCCTTCCTGACACTTGTTTTGGTTTAATTTGCTCTTATTTTTCTAGTTTCTTCTAAGGTGGAAGCTTAGATCATTGATTTGAGGCCTTTCTTCTTTTCTAATATATAAAAGTGAATGTGGGGCTTCCCTGGTGGCGCAGTGGTTGAGAGTCTGCCTGCCGATGCAGGGGACATGGGTTCGTGCCCCAGTCTGGGAAGATCCCACATGCCGCGGAGCGGCTGGGCCCGTGAGCCATGGCTGCTGAGCCTGTGCGTCCAGAGCCTGTGCTCCGCAACGGGAGAGGCCACAACAGTGAGAG